GAAGCCTACTTTATTTCAATAACCACATTCAACGAATCAGATTTAACCTGATCTTGAAGGAAATTGAATAAATGCGTGTTAAAACTGATCATACTCCAGCAAATAAGACTCTCACTTTGCACAAGGTTGTTTTATAACGGTATTCAATAGAAGTATCATATTCTTTTTTAGAGATGTTTAAAGCTTTTGTTATATTACAGATATTTCTAAACATTTATTATCTGAAACATATTGGGTATCTTGTTGATATTTTCTTCCCTAGTTGCTATTTTTGATCATCTAAGTCTAATTTAATCGGTGTAAGACCACGGTTAATACATACTCCCTATATACTTTTTCCAACTTTCATTGAAGCTAATGACAGTACAGATCATCCTTTTTGTCAATAACAGGTCGATGTAGGAAACAACGTATCTTTTTGATGAAACTTCTACTTGGTGTTTGCGTTTGGAATCAATATGTGTCAGGAATTAATTATATCTATTATGGTTGTACTGTTTTGTTGGAATTGCAAACAAAATTTATAAGAATTATGTTGAAAATATATGATAATCGTCTTGTTGCCCTCTTCCGAATGGATTTTTTGAGAAAACACGTCTGTTATTATCATTGATAATCCTTTAGAGTTAGCGGAGTATTTCTACTGCTAAACGCATTTATTTTCTATTATAACTGTTTGTGTCTATGAGTTTGTTTCTCTTATAAACAGTTTAGAAGTAGATAATCCACGATTTAAGTAAGCTGCAACAATATGTCATTAGTAACAGTGCCATCTATGATCTAAACTTAAAAATTTTCACCCTATCCTCGTCTGACAAAATTTTGTACGGAAATTTTTGAAAAATACCAAGTTTACGATAGCATTTTCAAGTTGTAGATTAACAGGTCGCTGTTGTGCACTAATCTTCTTGTTAGTTTGACTATAGCACACATTATAATAAAACATTCTAGACTACTTGCTAGATAGACTAGTTACTTATCCTATCTGCCTTAACCCAGATCGATCCTCAGTCACTTTTCGCCATATTTTGAATGTCAGTTTTCTTGCATCTTCTTTGATCCGAGGCAGCTGAGCATTTATCAAGTGAAGACAGGGATCTGCTTCGATGTCTTGTGACCCTTGGAGTTCCTCAGGTAGATTTCTTCACAACTAGCATTTGTGGTACGCTGCCTTTTATCTCAAATGTTCCTTTCTCTTTGACGCTTATATCTTTTGAGGAGCCATGATCTCCGTTAGCATTCCTTCTCATTGAGCCATGTCCTTTTGAAGGTTGGAGATCCAATTGACAATAGTTAAAAATGAAATGTCGGCTCTTCTCTTGCATTTTGCCATCAACTTCTTTTTCTTCTGCATTCTGTTAAGAACTTCGGCATTTGTTCGGTTTTTCGTCCAGGTAATACGTAGTATTCTCCTATAGGGATACATTTCGAAAGCATCAATGCGTTTCTCTAACGGATGATTGAGAATCCAGCTCTGGCAGTCTTAGAGAAGGATTGGAAACACATCTCTCACTCCTAGTCCACGTAAATCATCCGCAACTCTAATCCCTTTGCTTGTACCTGGCAACACGTAGCACCTTCTCGCCAATCTTATAATATTCCAAAGAACACCAAACTCTATAGAGGGTTTAAACTTTAAAACCCTCAAATAACTGGAGAGGAACATTCTCCTTTTTTCCGCAAACATCCTTCTGTACATTGACCTTACATCTGGCGCCATTCAGCATCATTTTCATCAATTTTATAGGCTTCCATTCAACTAATGGATGTAACATCATCTATTCACTGCTTGGCGCCTAGATCTTTCTTTTATAGATTGAAAGTTTCTTTTAAACTCACCAACAACTAGTGAATAATTACTTCATTTTTTTAATGTTGTCTATTTTACACGCTTCTTACTCCAGCTGGTTCGCTTATGTATGAATGGAACTCATAAAAGTACAGTGTGGAACTTGTTTTATAATGCAGGTGATTTTACTGGGCACATAGTAACGCTCTTCTGCGAGAGTAGATAACACCATATTGTTTAAAAAGTGATCGGGAGACACTACAGTAATGTTGCGTGCTGTTTTTATCCCTTTATTTCTCAAAAATACTCTTAAGTGAACCAATCAACAAGTTGCTCTAATAATAATAATTCGATTCATATCGTTGTTCCAATATCATGCCATTTTTTTGACCAATAAGTGTACAAATTAGTTCCTATAAGATGCCCAGAGGATTTATTTAAACTGTTATCATCATCATCATCACTGGCTCGACAACCCTTTTTGGGTCTTGGCCTGTTCAAGGATTCTTCTCCATTCTGACCTGTTTCGTGCTTTTTTTTTCCAGTTTTTAATTTTTAATGTTGTTATATCATTTTCTATTTGTTCTACGTATCTCAGCTTCGGTCTTCCTCTTGTTCTTTTTCCTACTGGCACTTGTTTGAATATTTTGTTTGGTATTTCGCCTTCTTCCATTCTTTCCACATGTCCAATCCAACGTAGCCTTCCTATTTTAATGAATGTTATGATATCCGGATCCTGGTATATGTTGTATAGTTCAAAGTTATACCTTCTCCGCCAAATCCCGTTTTCTTTTGTGCCCTTATATATGTGTCGCAAGATTTTTCTTTCAAAGGTGGCTAATAACGTTTCCTCCCTTTTAGAGAGTGTCCAGGTTTCTGAACCGTATGTGAGTACCGGTCTTATTAAGGTTTTGTATATTTGGCATTTTGTTTTTCTGGAGACGTTATCTGATCTTAGTTGCCTAATTAAGCCATGGTAACATTTATTGGCAATAAATATTCTCCTCTTCACTTCCTCTGCAACGTTGTTATCAGACGTAACTAGGGATCCTAAGTATGTAAAGTTTTTTACCGCCTCAATGTTGTATTCTCCTATTGTTAAATTTGGCAGCTGCCTTATTTGTGCGTTTTTATTTGCAGGCATATATTTTGTTTTTGTCTGATTGATTTTAAGACCACTATTTTTTGCAGCTCGTTCTATTTGAGTGAATGCCTCTATCATTTCTCTTCTTGATCTTGCGATTATATCAACATCATCTGCAAATGCTAGTACTTGCACGCTTTTATTAATTATTGTTCCTCGGGTATTAACTGTTGTGTCTCTTATTATTTTTTCAAGTATGATGTTGAATAATATGCATGATAGAGCGTCTCCTTGGCGTAGTCCCTTCTTCACATCTATTGTTTCCGTTAATTCGTTTTGTATCCGGATTTTACTTTCTACTTTTAGTGTTTCTTTTATCAATTCTATTAGCTGTGTTGGTATATTAAATTCTTTCATTGCTTTTATTAGGAATTCTCGGTTTATATTGTCATATGCGCTTTCGAAGTCTATGAAGAGATGATGTGTGTCGATGTTATATTCACTTGTTTTTTCAAGTATCTGTCGCAGAACAAATATCTGGTCTATTGTTGACTTCTGTCTATAGAAGCCACATTGGTATTTGCCAACTATTTTTTCAGCGTATGGTCTAAGTCTTTCATACATTACGTTGGACATTATTTTGTATGCCGCATTCAACAGCGTGATTCCACGGTAGTTTTCACATTCTAACTGGTTTCCTTTTTTATGTAGTGGTACAATAATGCCGCTATTCCACTCCTTTGGTAGCTGTTTATTCAACCATATCTTTCTTATCAGCTCATGTATGGCTTTAAGTAATGCGTCTCCTCCCTCTTTCAGTAGCTCCGATGATATTTGATCCGATCCCGGTGATTTATTGTTCTTTAATTTGTCCACTGCTGTTCTAATCTCTGCTATTGTTGGTGGACTCTTTTCTCTGTTGTCTGCTTGGTCTAACGGTATATCAGGGTTCATCTCCGTCCTATTCACCCCAAGCTTTTCCTTAAAATGTTCTGTCCATCTTCTAAGTATCTCTTTCTGTTCTGTCAATATATTACCCTCCTTATCTTTACACATCGTTGTTCTCGGTTTGAACTCTTTTCTGCTTTTGTTGAGTTTCTGGTAAAATTTTCTTGTCTCTGTTGGTTTACTTAGTTCTTGTAGTCCTTGAAGTTCTTTGTTGATATATTCTCTCTTCTTTCTTCGGTGAATTTTCCTTTTCTTCTTTACGTAGTTGTTTATATTCTTCCTCTGCTTGTCGGGTTCTATGCCTCTGTTGCATCTGTAGATATGCTCTGTTTTTTCTTTCTGTTATAGTTTGACATTCTTCGTCAAACCAGTGATTCGTTCTTGTTCTTCTTTCTTTACCTTCCATGCCCAACACCTCTTTAGCTGCTTCTTTTATGATTTCTCTGCACTCTTCCCACTCCTCATTTAGGTTTTCATGTTTTAGTCTGTTTTCTAGTTTGATGCTTATATTTTCTTTGTACTCTCTATTTTTGTTTGTTTCTTTGAGTCCTTCTATATTGTATCGTTCATGTTTAGAGCCTCTTTCCTTTTTGATGTTTGAAATTCTAGCCCTTATCCTACTTTCGACTAGGTAGTGATCAGAATCCGCATTTGCCCCTCTTCTGGTACGGACGTTTATTATATTCGATTGGTGTCTTGAGTCTACAATAACATGATCTATCATATTCACTGTAAGTCCGTCTGGTGATTTCCAGGTGCCTTTGTGTATATCTTTTCGAGCGAAGTATGTGCTGGCAATCACCATGTTAAGTGATCTTGCTAGGTTTACCAACCTATTGCCATTGTCATTTGATTGCTCATGGAGACTGTGCTTACCTATTGTGGGTTGGAATTGCTGCTCTCTTCCAACTTTTGCGTTTAGGTCTCCATAAATTATTTTTATATCACTTTTTGGGCATGACTGGTATGCGGACTCTAATTCATCATAAAACTCTTCTTTGACTTCCTCTTCTTTTTCTTCTGTGGGAGCATGCGCATTAATTAGGCTGTAGTTGAAGAAACGTCCTTTAGTTCTTAAAATACTGTTATAAGTAAATAAACTGTTATAGACTTAATTAATACTCACACAAATTCTTACATTCCGTATACATTAATCAATATTTTTGTTTTTGGTTTTAGGAAAAGATATTGATTTACCTGGCTTCTTTTTATTCGATTAAGTGTGAAAGTGTTTAAAACACTTTTGTCTCACTTAAAAATCCCATGTTTTCATTACTGTTTTATTATTTTTTGTATCATGTGTAATTCCGTTAATTGATTTGTAAATACTGACTGTAAAAAGTTCGATAAAATAAATATTGTAGAAAAGTTACTAGTAGTTTTTTTATTTTGACCTTATACGTGTTTGAAATTGCAAAAAATACTTTTTTTGTATTTATAGAGGTTATTAACTTATGATATGATTGCGATTGAAATGTTTTTCAAAATGGTTTATCAAAACGTATGTCTTCGTTTTGAGTAAATATACTTGTAAACAAAAAAGCGTCATTCTACATGAACAGATGTGATTGGAGCATATTTTAAACTATTTAGTGATCTAGTATCAATATTAGAATTATCAGCAAAGTCTCCCAGGATGTTCCCAGGAAAATCATAGCCTCCCTCATGGCGCAGTTTTGCACATCAGACGTAACTGCGGTTAAAGTGAAATGCTCATGGGGAAAGGGCAAAAATAGAGAGTTGATACTAGCATCGGTTTACCTACCCTCAAATGCAGCCACCCTACCACCAACAAAGGAAATAGAAGATCTGGTAGACCATTGAACCAAAGTTTGTCTTTGAGAAACCCTACAAAATCGAAACAAGACAGATATGGAGACAAACGTGACGAATGCCTATTGCATATACGTGTAGGTAAAATTTTAAGGTCGGTATGGTAAAATTTAACAGGATATCTAACGCAGATATAAAATCATATTTTCAACGAATTAGACAAAGATAACAATCATATTTCCCCTTCGTCTCCCCTCCTAAAATCCTTTTAACACTCATTGGCCATTGCCCATTAGTGAGACGATTAGTTCCGATCAGATATTCTCTGGTTCCGATCCTAATATACCTAAAAAACTAGAGGTGGGTCTTCTCGTTTTTTTAATTTTTATCGGAACCGTTTTTCGTAAACTGTAACTAGTTGATTGTTTACCAGTATTCAAATTAGCGAGTACACAAACATATTAGCTATTATCGTTTATGTGTATAAGTATTGAAATAAAAGAACCTAACGAAGGATATATTTATTGTAACTTGAAAAATAAATTAAATAATACAAATGGTACTTAAATAGTTACATTTACATTACACATTATTAAATCGCGAATCGTCTAAATTGACATTTAAAAACAAGTTTTTCCACTTTTCTTGTTAATCGCGTTCTTCTTTTATTTAAAATTATACCAGATGTTAAACATGTGTTCACAAGGAAAAGATTTTGTTACAATACTACAACATTTTATGAATATAGTGGTTAAGTTACGATATACATGGCGATGGTTTTTTCACCACGGTAATGGACAGTTCCAATCTCCGTTCGAAATTGTTTGTGGGTAATATATCATCAGACAATTACATGTCGACTTCTTTTATACCTCTCGATACAGGTGTATGTTTAGATGAGTCATGTCCAATTAATTCATCAAAAATACGCCATGGACTTAAGTCATCTTTATCAGTTTCTTTTTCTTGGACTGATTGATTTTCAAGATTTACTAAACTTTTCGTTTCATCCGTTTTCCATAGTTAAAGAACCAGCTTTTAAAAAGTTTGCAGGGTGGATTCCTGGATATAAACCGCCAACAAGAAAAACTTTGTCAGGTTCATTACTTCAGGAATGTTATGTCAAAAGTGAGCAAATTATTAGATCGCAAGTTGTTAAAGAAGTAGAAAATATCTGTATTACTACTGACCTCTGGACATCTGGAGTAACTGAGAGTTACTTCGCATTAACAGGACAATATTTAACCGAAAATTTAGTATTCAAAACTTTTTTATTAGGGTGCTGCCATTTTTCTGGAAACCATAATCCAGAAAACAGCGATTACTGTAATTGTTAATCAGTAGGGTCTAAAACGAAAAGTAAATTTTGCAGTAACTGATAATTCCTAAAATATGGTCAAAGCTATTAAATATGTTTTGTTTTATGATGATTGTGATTTATGATGATGATTAATTTATTGGTGGGGGACGCACTTAAATGCTGTCGTGTACAAATAGATAAAATAAAAAGTCCTTTTTTCGACAATTCTGCAAAAAAACACATTTCAAAAAAGTACCTTATCTTCAGAAAGGCTTTTAAAGTATTAATTACAACAGAACACAGTTCCCAAACGGCCAATCCAAGACGTGGAAACTAGGTAGAACTTCACCTATTACATGTTAAAAAGAATGACCGAGTTAGAAGAGGCAACCCGTTCCACATTGGTATTAAATAATACAGACTTAGACTTAAAACTAATCTAAATAAAGAACACTGGATTATTTGTTCTCAACTTTCCCAAATTTTACGGCCGTTTAAAGAAATAACAAGTACAATGAGTGACCAAAAATACTTGAATGCTAGTTCAGTGATTGTTATGGTACGCTGCCTGCAAGAATCTTGCAATAAAATTTTAGCAAACGGCATACTTACATCCATAGTATATGACATAGTACAATTACTAATATCGGGTTTAGCAAAAAGATTTAGAGGGATAGAACAGAGTGGCACATTGTCATTATGTACATTTATGGATTCACGATTTAAAGTGCAGAACAAAACAAAAAGTTAAGAAGCTGGTTACTTCTATAATTAACGAACAAGAAGATTGTACTATTGAAAATCAACCAGTACAAGAAAAAGAAACCAATAAATATGACTTAAGTCCATGGAGTATTTTTGATCAATTAATTGGAGATGACTCATCTACACGTACACCTGCATCGAGAGTCCATTACAACGGTGGAAAAACCATCGCCATGTATATCCTAACTTAACCACTATATTCATAAAGTATTGTAAATGTGAACACATGTTCAAAATCTGGTTTAATTTTAAATAAAAAAGAATACGGTTAACAAGAAGTAAAGTAGAAAAACGTATGTTTTTATGTCAATTTAGACTATTCGCGATTTAATAATAACGTGTAATGTAAATGTAAGTCCGATTTACTATTTGTATTGTTTAGTTTAGAACAGAATATTTAAAAATTGGAGGAAATACCACAGATCTGAGGCTTGAAAACGCAGTCATAAAAGGCTGCAACCAGTATAAATATCTAGGAAGCATCATATCAGCAGATGGCAGAGTTAAGATAGATGTACAAAACCGAATAACCCAAGGGAAAAAATGCATCCGAATACTGAATTCATTACTGTGGTCTAATAAAATAAAGATGTATACCAAACTTCGCGTATACAGAGCAATTGTAGAACCAATTACCACATATGGTGCCGAATGTTGGACGATGACAAAGAATGAACAAGATAAAGTAGACGTTGTGGAAATGGATTATCTTAGAAGGTCATGTCGAGTATCGAGAATGGAAAGAATCAGGAATGAGGAAATACGAAACCGTACAGGAATTAGAGATACTCTTTCAGATAGAATACAAGGACGGCAATTACAATGGTATGGTCACGTGATGAGAATGGAGGAGGAGCGGTGGCCAAAGAAAGCCTTAATGTATGTTCCGCCAGAAAGAAGGAAAAGGGGAAGACCACCAAATTCCTGGAGAAGAGAAATTACAAAAACAATGCAATCTAGAGGCTTAGAAGAGGGAGATTGGGGAGATAGGAAAAGATGGAGGCTGAAATGCGGAAGCGGCAATCGCCGTAGGACCCCCGTTATATGATGATGATGATTGTTTAGTTTATTTTTCAAGTTATAATAAATATATCATTAGGTAGTTTCTTTCACTTCAAAAGATATACACATAAACGATAATAGCCGTTATGTTTGTTTATGTAGGTACTATCTTACTTGAAACTACTTTTAAACAATCATAGTTACTTGTTTATGAAAATTAAAATTTTTAAATGCTTTTTAGCATTCAAAAAAATTTAAATTTTTTTGGAATCCTGAGAAAACTAACAAATATTTTTGAAAAATTTAAATGCAGAATGAAAGATTACATTATTACCGAGGGCCGAAGGTCCCTTAGAATAAACAAAAAGTTTTTTTAATGAGATATTTGAAATTAAAAATCACACTAAATTTTGTTTTTTTTTTTTCATCCCTATAACTTATTAAAATAAACATTATAGAAGTTTTCAGGGACTTTCAGCTCTCGGTAATAATGTATTGTTTCATTCTGCGTTTAATTTTTTCAAAAATATTTATTAGTTTTCTCAGGATTCGAAAAAAATGAATGCATTTAAAAAACATCGGCCCGAAATTTTGCTCCTACGCTCTTAACGATAAACTAGCACGACCCACCTCTACTTCTCGTTACTCGATCTTTTGACCAGAGGACTATCTAGACTAGACGTTGCCAAATAAATTAGTGTATGAATATTTTTTAATTTGGCGTTATTGTATGCATGTTTAATTGTTTATTATTTCATATTGGGAAATTATTTTGATGTTTAGATTTTTAGTTCGGAAATCGTACTTAAAATACGAAACATTAATAAATTTTATTTATATAAAACGATTTCCGAAATGGAAATCAAAATGTTATATTACAATTATTGTAAAGAAAACTTGTGGCATATTCCCAATAAAAAAAACAGTAACCTGCCATTTAAATCAATTTCGCCCAAATTTGATTATCTTGAGCATTTTATCTTCTTGATAGAACATTGTTCAAATGCAAAAAAAGACAACAGGTCAAATAAAACCAATAAGTTTGGCAACGTTGAATTTCCCCTTTTTTAATATTTCCATTCGGCGATATAAAGGGCGTACCTAATATACCTCTCTCTTTTTAAACAGCTGTTTCTCACTCCATCTCACGTAAGGTCCATACCGACCATAAAATTTTTCCTACACTGTATACCGATTGCTCCAAAATATAAGAAGACTCAGGATGCGGGATATACTCCAGATCACTGAACCTAAGAATAAAGTGGGGTATGGGTAAAAATGCCAACGTAGTTCAGACAGAACTGGCTGGTATCTTCATAGGCGCAAAAGAGATAACCCAAAAGGGTATAGGCGGGTTGAATAGACCACGTGTCACATCAGAATTAGTAATGGAGTGTGTAATCCATATTGTGAGTTGCTAAAGTAATTATTTGAATCAAAATGAATAAAATTGTTTAACCTTTTCAATCACTTTCTCAAAAGTAGAAACAATGCTTATGGGTTTGTAATTGTCAGTTTTTGAAATCACCTTTTTTGTAGATAGGTAGTACTTTTGAGTATTTTAGTACTTCCGGAAATATTAAAGTTGATAGAATTAAATTGTTGGGCTGAAATGAGCTGCGAATTCATTTCAAGAGAGCGTGCTAGTATAAACGTTAGCTCTTATTTCAATGTGTCTATGAGTTAAGACATTTTGTATAAAAGTTAGTGTGTGACCCTCAATTTCAAATTTTGTGTCGGTACATGATAAGCGATACCAAGTTGCCGGTGTGTGGATCTGCCTTCTACGAAACCCACTTTGATAGGAGGATAATAGCATTGAATTTTCTAGATGCCATACTAGTCTGTTGTTTATAATCTTTTCCATTAGTTTACACATACTACATGTCAAGGAGATTGGACGATATGACAAGGGATCGTCTTTAGGTTTGTTGGGTTTAAGAATTGGGTAGATAATTGCATGGCGCCATATCTTGGGAAATATATTATTGAGAAATATTGAGTTAAATAGTTCTAGGAGGATAAGTTAGCTGATTCTGGAATATTTTTCAAGAAAATAGGTGGAATATCATCTGGACCGGAAGTGGTATTTTTAAGACAGTTTAGAGAATAATCAAATTCTTGTTGAGTTATGTTTTCATTTAGGGGCGATTGGCTGTCATGGATTGAAATTTTAAAGGTTCTTCATGATTTTTGTATTTAATGAAATTTACATACCTAACGAAATGAATGTTCTATCATTGTTGCTTTTTTAAATACGATTCTTTAGTTGATACACAGATGCCATACCGTTCAGCAAACATTATTGGTGACTATACTACTGAAATCTCTTATTTCTAATTTGTTTTGAGATCACCGCTGAATTATTTAGTGAATTTCCTGTTAATTGCTCTGTATTTTTATTATAATTGTATAATAACAAATAACCTAAAATGTTACGTCGCTTTAATTTACTAAATATTTCATCGAAACCTTGTTTACCTCTTGATTTACGCCTTAGATGAGGGCATGCATTATTCTACATCATTTTAACTTTTTTTACACGGAGAAAAAAAAAACAAAAAACAACAAATATAACAAATTTATTAAGGAACTGGCAAGTAAACAATCACAAAATTCGAGACCCGATAAAACAATTTTCTTAATTAGAAAATAAACTACACCAGATCATCAAAGAGTAGTACGTTTAGAGTAGTGGGTGGGTCACCTTTTTTAACAATAGCCAAACCGTTTGCTCCAACTAGACTGTTTAGTCTGCTGCTGATCTGATTTCCGGTTGACGTGGCCTTAAACTCGCCAATGGTTGGATCGAAGCTTATTTGTACTCGGTGGTACTCTGGTCGTGAATCATTATTAACTAACGGTAAATTCTTGATTTGAATCGTGGGAAACTTGTAATTTGCACACTGTTCCATATAACGTAAAGCAGGGATGATATAAAGTAGACAAGTCACCCCGCACGATACGGGATTACCTGGCAATCCAAAGAACTTCTTTTCTTTCCCGTGGTAAGTTAATGTAGCGAAGGTTGTGGGTTTTCCTGGTTTCATATTAACTCTAGCAAAGTGGATTTCTGCTCCAAAATCTTCTACGAGGACCTGTTTAAGTATATCGAATTCGCCCATAGAAATACCACCACTAGTTATAATCACATCGTTGTATACAAAGGCTCTTTCTAAGACAGCTTTAACCGAGTCCGGGTTATCTCTGGCGATACCACAATCCATTGAGTCGTAGCTGTACTTTTTCAATAAATTCATTAAAGTGAATTTATTAGCATCTCTAATTTTACCAGGAGCCAGTTTTTCTTTTGGATCACCTATTTCATTTCCTGTAGATATGACCCCAACCGATGGACGCTTGAATACCATCACTTCTGTTTTACCCAACATGGCCAGAACTCCCACATGTGCAGCCTTGATCTGCTCGTATTTGTTCAAGACCAAAGAATTAACCGCGACATCGCTGCCTATCTCCCTAATATCTTGTCCTAGTTTAGGTGCAATCTCAATTTTGATAACAACCTCCACGCTGCCGTCTGGAGAAGCTGTAACTATCGAAGTGTCTTCCACTTGAACGACAGCGTCGGCTCCAGGCGGCAAAGGAGCGCCTGTGGAGATTCGTATCGCTTCCCCTGACTTAAGTACATCTTCGATGGGTACGTCACCTGCCGCTGCTACTTCTTTGATAGTTCTCGGTCCTGCTCCGTCCGCTGCAATTACAGCATAACCGTCTTTTATGGAAGCCCTAAATGGTGGAACAGGTGCTAAAGCATATACATCTTCTGCCAGAATTCTATTAACTGATTGATCGAAAGCAACAACTTCGGTTTCGCTACGAGTAGGAGTACACTGAGTTAGTACTATTTTAGTTGCTTCTGATACTTCTTTAAGGGGATAAGGAGATTTGCGACTTCTTGATGCAACATTATCGATCTTTACCTTGCTAGGGGTAACTTCTATGCCGTCGCCCCCTCCTTTGGTTTGTATACTTTGATGCAGCAAAACTACAAGATCTTTTTGATCGGTTAATAGGGCTATAGCATGTGGTATACAGCTTTTGATAAAACCGAAGCACTCAGTTGCCCCTTTTTTGCTTCCTGGCAAATTTATAATCATTGTTTTGCCTCTAACGCCACAAACCGCCCTAGAAAGCATAGCCATCTTCGTGATAGCTAAACTATTCGAAATCATAGCATAGCTAAGACCAGGTGCTTCTTTTTCTATAACTTGTCGTGTTGCCTCTGGAGTAACGTCTCTATTGGAGAATCCTGTACCTCCAGTTGTCAAAATAACGTTATATTTTTGCTCATCGCTCCAGTTTAATAAAACCGATTTGATGTCTTCTATTTCGTCTGGAACGATTTGTTGAATGATTCGAACTGATGAGTAAGATTTTAGAACTTGTTCTTTCAAGCTTGGGCCAGATGTGTCTTTTTTAGGATCTCTGTGACAAGTGTCGCTGACAGTCAGTATGCCAAATGTTAGAGCTGCCATAGTTTCTGTAAAAAATATATCAATTAGTTTCAGAGAATTTGTTGATTTAACTTATTGATAGAACGAACGAAACTATTTCGTTACCATAGCAACGAAGAATAACTCAGAAGTGTCAAACCATGGACGTATAAACACAGATGGACTCAGTTATTTACATCAAATTGTGAAGTCAAAATTATTTGAATAGGTCACATTCTGAGCACCTTCAACTGTTGTCACGTTTTGTTTTAAAATTTCTTATTCGCGAGTCGCTGAAAATATTACTACGTATTTTATACTCTACAGGTGCTATCAAACCAAAACAATAATTTATTGGTTATATTAATATATTTAATTGTAATCAAAATATCAAGTGTGCACATAGTGTGCATTATCATTTAATAATAGCGTATAATAGATATCAATCAATTATTTTATGTGTAGAAGCACTGAAAACTATTTATAAATGGCAACGGTTGTTTACATTTCTCTCGGCCGGTTTCCGAAACGTAATTCAAATCTCCAATCATGTAATCAAGTGTCAAATTTGATCAACTGTTAACAAGCGACAGGTTTCCGAAACGAAAATTATGGTAAAATTAGGTGATCACCGATTATAGATTATTTGACAAACGATTTTACATGGAAACTGTAGAATCGATTATAATCATTTATTATTTCTGTACGAATTGTTCTTTATCTTGCTCTAAATTAAGAAAGTAATGTTGGCTGTTTCACTCTACCGTCATTTCTGTTTATGTGTAATCTGCATTCTGAAAATCAACAAACAAACATAACCTAACTATTAATTTTGTGTCGTTTGTTAATGTTTGCCAATTTGTCATTTATCAATATCATCATATTTAATACTAAATATTAGTAAATTGTTTACCTTTGTAACAATATTTTTGAGTTCTTTCTAAACAACAGCTTTTTATAAAACACCTTAGGTTTATGTATTTACAACGTAACCAAAGATTTTATTTTATTTACTTACAACCATTGATACATAACCAAAGATTATAAGATTAATCGTCCAAAAATCTCAGATTACCTGACAAGCTAGTATGACAGTTGTTTGACATAGATAAAACGATAATTAGCGTTTCGGAAACCCAAAATACTTCTGACAGGCTGTTAATCATCGATTATTTGTTTGTTAGATTAGTTAATGTGTGTTATGTGATTGAAGTTTGATCGATGTTTCTGCAACTCAAAATGCATTTAATCGACTGTTAACAGTAGATTACCTAATTTTGATAATGATCAGCCTTTCGGAAACCGGCTGTCTGTCTTATGGATCTACGTCAAACTTCAAATGCTGTTCCATGGTTGTTTACTTTTTACAGTAAATGAGGAAAAAGTTATTTTTCGATATTTTGGCTGTATTTTGAGTGATATTTGTGAAAAGTGAAATAAAATAAACGAAATATTTACATCCCGATCTCTCATTTCATTTGTAAGTACATACAATTTACATTATTTAAGATGAGAAAATGAGGAAGCGTGTTTGTTTACATTTTAATAGGCGTACCATTGGGTTTATTCATGTTCATTAATGCATTGAATAAGATAATAGTTCATGAAATTAGTAAACATTTATAAATTGTAAGTAGACATCATCTGATTAAAAAAGATTTGTTTAGTACCTTTTTAATTTAATATTTCTCATGGATACAAATAAATTAGTGAAATGAATAAAACTCATTTATTTTTCTATGTAAGTTTCCAAATAATATTGACGATCGAACTATTTGGGTAGCAAATTAAGGAGAAAACAAAGATTTTTTATTGTAGCATTATTTTGATACTATTAAAAAATTAACTTGAATTCAACTATATTTAATTGTATTAATTTTAAAGCAAATAAAATTGTATTTTAATTTTTCTATAAAGACGTGATTTGTTAATAGTTAAACTCTCGTTTTTTTTTTAATTCTTTGAACGTGTTTTTATACATGATTACTACTTCCAATTTTTAAAATCTGAATAATTACCCGCGAGTAAAAATTCAAGCACGTTTATGCTCATTGCGGAAGCATCACATTCTATCGAAGCTTCAAAACATTGTGTGTTAAATGTATCTTATTGCTGTGTCCATCTATGTTTATATGTCTATGTGTCAAACAATCAAAGCAGAGTTGAAGTATCTAGCTATAATCATCAAGTACCTACTTATTATATTTGGAGGGGTTAAGAAGTAGGCATATTTACGAAGATATGTGCTTAATTCCCTTGTCGATCAATGTCCTTCACACATGACCGTAAAAAATTGAATTGCAAACTTCAAAGAAGGTAAATTTTACATTGAAAGTGACGACCTATCGGAAAGACCAGTCTCTATGTCCCCACAATTCATGAAATGATTTTATCAAACCGTCAAATTTAACTACAAAGAATATCTGAGGCACTAAATATTCCACATGAACGTGTTCATCATGCAGTTCACTTCAAGACTGACTACTGTCAATACTCATTCCACTTCCCAAAAAACCAACGCATGTACGACATGGAAAACTAAACGATATCTTACAAACATCAGGACTTATATTTTGTTCTTCATGTGCCGTCTTCTACCGAAGGTTTTCGACCATCAAACGACAGGTTTCTCTGTTTTGTGCCAGAGAGATAGCCAAAAATATTGCTACATATCAAAAAATTAATCAAGGGTAAGGCTAATGTTTCATAGAATACGTAAATATCGTAAAAGAAACGGATAAATGAAAAGTACGATGTATAAACAAGTATTAAAATGAGAAAGGGAATGAATGGAGTCAGGAAGTTAACGATACAAATTTGATTTCACTTTGTACAGACATTTGCAATGAATTAACAAACTGCGACAGAACAAACTTATTTAAAATCTGCCAACGTTCAAGTAAAAGACGACATTGGTGTAAACAGAGAACACCGATTAAGTCTCACCCACCGATGAGGTTAAAGCCTCAATAATTATTGGAACAGTTATTTTAATAAACATAAACTTTTTGATATATCAACTGTTCGCGCAACAAAAATAGAGACTTTAAATTTTGATTATTCATCTAATAAATATGACAGATACGGCCCTCAGTGCTACTAATAAATACCATGATCTGATATAAATTTTAATATATTTAAACACATAAAACCCTCTTTCCTACACAAACTAAACCTTCAGTACATTTCAATTTATCTAATCAATGGATTAAAAACTTGTAATCCTAAGTAGATCCTTGTAATCCTACTAAACAGTAGAAACATTAGAATCATATGTAACCTCTATTGGAACCAAACAGCAAATGTGAAAGTTGAAAATTAACTGACCGAGGATATCCAGATTCGCCGTGGAGTCCACCAAGGGTGTATTTTATCACCCTTGTTATTCAATTTATACAGTGAAGCCATCTCAGAATTAGCGCTTGCCGAGGTCAGTGAGGGCCTTATAATAAACGGTGAGCCACTTAATAACATAAGATATGCTGACGACACCGACCTTCTGGCAAGAACACTAGAAGAACTGCAACACCTTGCTGAACAACTAAATATATATTGCAACGATTATGGACTAAAAATAAATTTGAAGAAAACCAAGTTCATGGTATTTACAAAAGCACAAAACATCAAAGTTCAGCTAGTACTAGATAATACAGAAATTGAACAAATATCTTCGTACAAATACCTTGAAGCATGGATCATAGAAGATACTGATCAGACAAAAGAAATAAGATGTCGCATTGAAATTGCACGGTCAACTTTTACTAGAATGAGAAAACTTTTTTGTAATCGCGATATCAATATATCGCACCGGATAAGAATGCTTCGATGTTATATTTTCTCTACTCTTTTGTATGAGGTTGAAGCTTGGACACTTAAAAAAAATGCAACATTAAAAACCTAGAAGCATTCGAAATGTTGTGTTACCGACGTATTTTGAAAATATCATGGATGGATCGAAAACAAAAGAACAAGTTCTCGAACAAATAGGAAAACAAGACGAAGTTTTAAATTCCATTAAAAATTAGGAAATTATAATACTTGGGGCACATCGAGAGGTGAAAAATACGAACTACTAAGGAATATAATGCAGGGTAAAATCAAAGGCAGAAGCAGCGTAGGAAGACGTAAAATCTCGTGGTTACGCACCTCCGTGAATGTTTTGGATGCAGTTCAATTGAACTATTGCAAACTATTGTGCAAACAAGCGCGTAACCAACAAAATTATACTTAATAAATGAAATGCGAGGTTGAATGCTCGAATAAATGAACTTTGAAAATAAGGCTATTATCGAGCACAAGTTAATTAAATCTAGCCCAAGTACTTTCGCTTAAAATAGCATCTTCAGGGGCATTTCGTCAAAATGTAAACTATCCGGCAAGCGTAGAATGTGGAAACATTAAAAATAACATAAAATTGTACAAAACACTACACTAAAACGAGGTTTTAGTGTAGTGATACTCTCCGATAGGAGCGGAACTTGAAGAAGAAGAAGAATTCTAAACTACTAGAATTATAAAAGATAACAGGTAAGATATATTTATATAGGAAATAGTGGAGAAAAATAATAGAAAGACCACCAGAAACAAAAAATTTTACACAAAGTAAGTTTCTATGTATAAATAATTTAGGTACATATTTATATATGATGTAAAAATATTTTGAATCTCTTACCTATTATACTGCTATACTTTCTTGATTATCACGACCAAAAGTTACGAAAAAATCTTGATCTTGATCGACTTTTTACCAAAACGTCAAATTTGCTTTGTTTTTGTATCTCCTAGTGACGATTTTTTGAAAACCAGTTCGATTGTAATGACTTACTCAATGATTATAACGGAAACTCTCTTGACGCTAATCCGAATCCAATCACAATAGATGTAGATACCTACCTGTAATTGCTTCGTCAGCACACTTTCTTTGGATGCACAGTTATCATATAATGTTATCTCAGTACATACAATGTAATGGATTGGTTACATAAAGTGACAATCTTATCTCTTGCAAAAATACGTTTTATACAACATGAAATATCTTAATTAAATAGATTCAACTCAAATAACTGTAATCAACAACCTGAATTAATGTAGGAGGTAGTGTATAATAAGTCACAGGGGCGTAAAATTAATAAGAAAATTTACCTTTTAAAATTGTGTCGGTTGTTTTCAAACTATATAGGCGCAAAAGCAACTGATACTCTTTCCATTTAAGAGATATCTTAACATGAGAACCTTAAACTGAGCAAATATAGGAAATAATCTTAGTTCCTATTTTATTTATCAAACTGAGAATAAAGACAATAACAACTAAAATAAACAGCCTCGACCATAAAGAATATAAAAGTCTTTATAGAACAAGTCTATAAAAACCCTATAACAGAAAAGACTGGAAGAAAAGAAAACAACAATTTTCGACATCAACATCATTTAGAGCTGGGGTTCCCAAACTTTTACTTACCCCTTAACACCTTAACAATAAATTGTATGAGCCTAGGAACAAAACAAAATCAAATGAGGATTACATAGAAAACAAAACATTTATTTATACTGTCATAAGATACAATAATATCACTTTTTATAAAATACAAATATTATTAATTAAAGAAATATAGATTAGGTTGGTTGGTTTTCTTTACTAGTATACCTATTCGTGGCTGAGTTTTAGTGCGCAACACAAGTCACTAGTAGCACAAAGTTTATTCCGATACTTTGTTTTAATTATTGCCACAACTATTGAAAATGCTTTTTCGCACAAATAGGTGGTTTCGCACAAATAGAGTGCCCCCAAGGGAAGGGGCGCTCCTCAATTTGGGAACCTCTGATATAGAGACACTAAAGAAGAATATAGCCAAAATTCATACATGCTATTGATATTGGTGACAAGAAAACGATAAGAAAAAAGACAAACCAAATCCAGCCAAAAAAGCCTTGATTTAAATAAGAAATAAATCGAAAATGGAAAGAAAAACGAGAAGAATATTTAACATATAGATAATTAGGAATACACCAAGCATATGACGACTGCAAAAGAGTATAGTATTAAACAAATGGTTGAGTTTACCGAAAGTACAAGCTGATTATAACCGCAAGTGTCAAACATGGAACAAAAAATTTTGGTATAGCAGTGTTGGCATGTTTTATATTGTAGATGTTGTATGCTTCAAATATAAAAATATAAAGCTTTAAAAAAGTACATTTTGTTTATATTATGTGATGCCTTATGCAATGTTTGATTTAGATAAAACAACAATGAGTAAATATTTGTTTCTTTGGAGATTAATTGCATTTAATTATGAAAAATTTTTTAGCAATTACCCTTTGGTAGATTTGGCAATCGACAAATCAGCAGTTGTCATATTACAACAGATGTTTGCAATTAATCTCGAAATAGACAAATATCTACTCGTTACTGCTTCATATCAATTAAAAATTGCAGAATTCATAAAATAGTATAATCAAAATGTACTTTTTAAAAGCTTTATCTCTTTGTATTTGAAGCATACATGCATTATAAAAACATGCCAACACTGCCAAGCCAAAATATTTTTGACATTTGCTGCTATATTCTGCTTGTACTTTCGGTAAACTCAACCTAAACAAATATATGTGTAAATAAAATAATCAGTAAAAACAACACGAAATTAACTTAAATACGCCCATGAGTTGTAAGTACAGATAAACTTAAAGAATAGTAATAATTATATTTATTATATTACTACAATTCATGTAATCTACATAGCTACAGAATCGAATTTTACAGTTTTAAATTAATTGAATAATATCCAAACGCATCTTCGGTGTATTAGACACACCTTATCAAAAATGACGTAGGCATCATAGGTCACATTAGATCATTTATAGTGTTATTGACTAGATGGCGCCGCCGTTCAAAATATTAATATCTAAACAAAAAATAATATCAAAATTTTTTTTATATTTATAGTATAATAATATACCTATAATTTTTATTAATATATAAAATATGAGAAGATAGATAATAAATTTACAATTTATTAATTAGATTTATTCATTAAATAGATATTTTACAAAAATAAAATATACAATTCTTAAATTATTTTATTACAAATATAGCATGTCACTTATTATTCCCTATTCATATACATTGTTAAAACACTAGCCTACAGTTAAAGTTATATGAAATCTATTAAGTCGTTTCCAGGTCAAACAGACTCATTTATATTTATTTATTCCACGTCTGATTTTTATCAATTATCCGGCAAAAAATAAATCTCGTGTATTTATATACCTCTGCAATAGTATTACTCTTAATATATTTCGCATGACCTAGTAACTAACGCGAGGCTGTATGCATCGAAAACGTTTTCCATCCAACGATGATCACTTTTTATCTATTCAAACACGTGTTTACTATTTTCTATTTTAAGCTCACTAAATAACTGCACGTTTGCTGTCACGGTAGAGCGCATTCACATGCGTTTTTGTGCAATGTAAACTCAACTATCATAACAATATGTTCATTAATTTTATGCATAATTCATGTATATGTTAAATTAATAGATTGTAAACAAAGGGGTAGTTTTTTGGGGTAAGGTGTGCAGAAATGTAGGCACTGAATGGTTTTAAAGTAATAGAAATAACAAAAAAATACGTTCCTTATCTTTGCGGTATTTATTTTTTCGTCCACTTCATTGCTTTTATTTTTTTTGTCATTGCAATATGGGTTTTGTTCTTTTTTGTCATAACTATTCTATTTGTACGATGTTTTTTTTTCTGTCACGGTATAAGGAAAAAAATCAAAACGAGCTTCCAAGGATAAGAGATCAGAAAAAGACCATATGGACGGATATAAGGGTACCTACGTTTAGTAAATACTTGGTACGAGAAATTGTTGAGCACGTTAATGATTTAGAAAGCAGGTTTTTTGGTATGACAAGTATAACAACAGTTGCAGTCAGAAGAGTAGTTTACGAAGTAGCAGAGGCAAAAAGGATCCCGCATAGATTTTTGCATCAAACCAAAATGGCATGCTGGGATTGGTTAAGGCGTTTTAGCTTTACGTACAAGGTCTTTTAATAAAGCACAAATTCGATTATACTTACTTAAAATTGACAAATGTAATAAGCCACATTGCACCCACAAGGTATAACCGCTTGATGTGAGCTTTTATGGACCCTTAAACACTTATTATAACCAAGCACTCAATAACTAGATTAGAAGCAACCCAGGAAAGACTGCGACTGACTACCAAATTGCTGCTGTATTTAAAGAAGCCTATGATAAAACTGCAACATTGAAAATTTGTTCAACTCGGTTTTATTACAACAGAAATATATGACAATAGAGACTACCGATATATTAACTTCAATCATCCAACCGCTGGTATAACCAGCACCAATGCATTCTGGTTCGCACGAAGTGATCTTGATATTTCTTTCTTGGGAATACAAACAAAGGTGGCACATAAGCACCAATTGCTAATACAGCTACCAGCAATTGGCAGTTACATGTCCCCCTTTCAGCTGATGTTAGAGATCCAACATTTTTTTCTCTTTAGCCGCGATTATCTTTGATGAGCTTTAGGCTACTCCTAGAGAGAGCGCCTCCAGCGTGGCTGTACAGCACAACACAAACTCGCTTACTGATCATGGACACCGGAGACCAAGATCCGACAAGAGAGGTGATTCCCATGACCACAGGGCCTTCCAGGTCGTTAATATGCAAATGTGAAATGCCCAATAACGCACCTATAAGAAAAATCCACACGAATTATCTAAGAGAATATCCACTTGGAACGTTAGGACTATGGCTGAATCAGGAAAAATCCAAAAAAGAAATGGAACACATGAAAATAGCAATAATGGGCACAAGTGAAATGAGGTGGACTGACTGAAGTTATTGTGACATAGAAGAATACAGAGTATACTATTCAGGATCAGAAACTGGTTAATATGAAAATGGAGTCGGAATTATCACAGATAAAAGTATAGCCAAACATGTCAACAACTTCATTCAAGTGAACGATAGAATTCTCTTGTTACGAATAAATACGTCATCGATGAACACTAACATTATACAAGTCTATGCACCCATAGCAGACCACAGTGATGAGGTAATATCAGAATCAGAAGCAACTTTATAAGAGATATACCGAGACATGAACTCCCTTATAGTCACGGGAGATTTAAATGCTAAAATAGGTAACGGAAAAACAGAGCAACATATTGGTTCTTATGGATTAGAAGAGAGAAATTAACATGACTTAACCGTGCTAAATACATTTCATATTGGTCTTATTAGGCGTCTAGGTGATATTTTACAAACTACCAGCTAGACGCCTGTATACGTGGAAATCATCTAGAAAATCTATCAATATTTAGGAATACTATGTAAAATCTTCAATAATATCTATGACATGGACAATATTCCAAAAGGTTGGCTATTTCAGAATTTATTGTGTTACCAAAGAAACAGGAAACGAAAAAGTGTGGAGAATAGAGGTTAATAAGTCTAATGAGCCATGCTTAATGCATGGCTCATTCTTGAAATTATACATCGCAGAATATACAAAAGATATGCGAAGAGAGAATACAAGACACACAGTTTGGATACATGAAGCGTAGGTACAAGAGATGCACTGTTTAGTCTGGTATTATTCAAAAGATGTAGAGATATGACTTGCGATATCTACACTTGCTTTGTGGACTACCTAAAAGCATTTGACACAGTTCAACACTTCTGACACAAATTCTTTTCAATATAAAGGTAGGTGGTATAACAACATACAAAAATGTTTTCCTAATAAACCATGGTTTGACACAATCCCATACATAGATAGACGGAATATTACTACTATTATTAGAATGAGGACTGGTCATTGCCTGACCTGTCTGAGTAGACTTATATAAAATCAAAATTCGTCATAACCCATACATAAAAGATTATGATGTCTATCAGGAACTGATCAAATGCGATATTAACCCTAAAATTATTAAAATTCTTCTCAGATTCCTACAGATCAACCATAACCTTCATAATAACCTATCTAATATTAATATTTAAACCACTTATCTTCTTCTAGTGCCATATCCGCGGCGGAGTTTGGCAA